GACTGGGACATTGTCAAGAAATTGAATGATATCATCAGTGTAAGCGTTTCCTTGTCATTTCCAAGATTACTTTCATTTCAGTATCTAATTACCTATGAAATCAATATTTTTCTATACATCATCAACAGGAATTCTATTACATCACTAAGAAGATGGAGGGCGACATCCCATCGGCTTCAATGGTCCTTGCAAAATACCGACTCCTGCGGCAATACCTCGAGGGCAAGCTCAGCACCATCACCGAGGATGAATTCAAGAACATGATCAACACCATGCTCAAAAAAATCGACACCTACGTCAACGAGGCTCTTGCATGCGATGCCATCCTTCTCGCCACAGCTCTCAACCCCAGCTACCGCCTCTCAATGATCCAGAAGTGGTACCCCTCAGCCTTCCCCCGCGCAAAATCCCTTCTGGAAGACCAATTCCAACAACGCAAACAGGCCCTCTGTCAGCCACAGAGTACATGTCACAGTACCTTTCATGTACCAAGTAACTGCAACACCTGTACTTATGTACATAAGTACTTATCCATAATGTTGATTACCTTTACCTCTTGTTATCTTATCTTTATTATTAACTTATCTTATTTATCTTACAGTTATCTTATCTGTTAATTACTTATCTATTAAATACATACCTGTGTTATACATAAGTAATTATCACTTACCTTTCACTCCCTTGTCCGTGAAATACCTGTACCACAAGTTATCCCTCTGCTACAGTATTTTCACGGTCAAATATTATTACAAATAAATATGTACATGTATTAAATAGTAAGTATTAAGTGTCAATAGAATTAATACATTCAATACATGCACTGATCACAATTATGACTACATTATTAGAGGATCTGTCAAGTGCACGCATCAAGAACAACTAGTACATTGATCAACTAGTACACAATTATGATGTCACTTACAGATCATGACAAATAATGATCAGTCACTCAATTAACCTTTTTACTATTAAATACTCAGGTTAGTTACCCAGAGGCTGACACCCTCAATGACCAGGCAGCAAGAGATGAAGACACCCCGCCACCCGAAAAGAACACAACCCTGCCCCCTGGTGGTGGACTCGAGGAAGATGTCGACTTCTTTTCGGATGCTGCGCCAGAGACCTATGACGAACTGGCAGCGTACCTTGGGGGTAAGTATCGGCTGCCCTCTTCACAGGCTGCTGATTGCTTAACTTGGTGGAAGGTGGGTTCAAACTTTTCATAATTCAGGTTCTGAGTTTGTCATAAGAATCTGATTATTACCTTTTTCGATGAAATACAGCAATATTCAACAGAATTTCCAGTGGTGGCACTACTGGCCCGAGACTTCCTGGCCACAAGTGCTACGTCTGCAAGTGTGGAGCGATGTTTTTCAGCCGCGGCGGACGTTTGCGGGCAAGATCGAGGCAACTTAGCTGCCAAAACAATCGAAAGATGTGTAAGTTCCCACCAATGGATCACTCAAGGGGTAAAGCCTGATGGCCCATTCCAGGCGGCCCAGGACATAATCTCTGCTACTCAGGCAGAATTGGAAGCAGCCAAGACCACAAAAAAACCTGTCGCTTCGACCTCCGGTGTCACAGGTTAATTTCACTATATCCATTTTTTCCCCTATAATCACAGCCTCTACTCTCTAGGCTCTACCAACCCCCACTCAGTCTCCCAAATTTCATTTCACTCCACTTGAAAAAAATCCCTTGAAGAAAAAAAAGTTGTACATTTCTTTACATTAAGTATGAAAATTATAAATAGCGATGAAAAAAAAATCTCAGGCTCTCCATTTTTAGCTTTAAAAATTTACATTCCAATTTTTATTTTCATAAAAGTTAAAAATTAAAAAAAAAAATCATGTACATATAATAATATAAATGCCCAAACTTTTTCTTTTACCCAAAAAAAACTGCCTTTTGAAATGATCCCACAGATACCGGATCGGTATCGGATCGGTATCGCGATGCGATACCGATCCCTAACCCTGCGATACTGCCTGCTGCGATCCGATACTCTGGGTATCGGATCGCGTGGGGCGATCCAATACCCCCTTCTTTCGATACCCTGGTAACAAAAAATCGATCCGATCCGATAAATTGGCCAATACCATATCCGGATTGGATCTGTTACATCGTTGACACCGCTACGAGACCACAGGAGGCAAGAACTTCTCTGTTGGAACGAGGCATTTCTCCTGCCTTAATCAACTCCCGTGCGACCTCTCTAGCGTTGGAAACCATGTCCAACAGGTCAACTCCGGTGCCCTGTCCGATAGACCGATTAACTTTCCCGGTCAATATGAATACCGCGACGGGCAGACTAGTCTACACTCCGACCCCTCGTCAAACCCATCAGACCCAAGTCCCAGCCCTAGAACAGTCCTTAGCCCCACCGGAGGACGACATGATCGTAGACAACCAGGAATTGGAGACGGTAGTAAACCTCTTCAACGAACAATGGAATATGTTCATTCAAGCTCGGGACAACCAGAACCCTCGATTGATGAGACTCGCTCTCATTCAAGCCATCTCCAGTCAAGAAGAGATCCGATTGCTAGCGGGAGGAGCGGAAATGCTCCGTATCTGCGAGAACTGGATAGCCAGAGAGGAACTAGCCGACCTCGAGAGATCCCAAGCGGCCAACCCAACCCAACCACCTTCCCGTTTAGCGATAACCCAGACGGCCCACCAGCACACGGTCAGCCCGTCTCCGGCTCCTCAGCGTTTGACACGCCAGCCATCCGACGTGACGTACCTGGGTACTGGCCCGGTACAGAGAGGAAACGACCTATCGCTTCCACCCCCGCCACCGTCTACTCCACACCCATTGGACGTAGCGCGGCAAGGGGAGTGATAATCACACTCCACCCCCCTTCGCACACACACTCCAACACTCCCTTCTCTGAAGGGAGTGTGGGACCGCACTCCAATTGAAATTGGAGTGCAGGTCCGCACTCCAACCCTCTGCGCGGGCATTCCCCCAGCAGGTTGGCGTGCGGGTCCGCACGCCAATTTCAATTGGCGTGCGATGCTGCACGCCAGCCGTTAAGCGAGGTTGCCTCGCTTGCAGGCAGGCGTGCAGCCAGCGATTCCATATGCCTCGACCTAAACCCATATTCATATGGGTTTAGGTCGAGGCATATCCCATAGGACCCAGGGATGGGTCCTATGGAGAGACGGTCTGACCGGTTCAAACCTTGAACCGACATGGGTTCAAGGTTTGAACCCTGACGGCCATCGGCCAAGGTTCAAACCTTGGCCGATGGCCTTGAAGATCCCTGTAGGACCCAGGCCTGGGTCCTACAGGGATTCACTTTGTTTGAACCCTGAAGGCCCATAGTCCAGCTCATCGGGAGGGTTTCCTCCCGATGAGCTGGGTTTAAGTCCAGCTCATTGGGAGGGTTTCCTCCCGATGAACTGGTATATAGTCCAGCTCATCGGGAGGATTTCCTCCCGATGAGCTGGTTTTAAGCCCAGCTCATCGGGGAGGATTTCCTCCCGATGAGCTGGAAACATACCCCATCTCATCGAGAAGGATATCCTCCCGATGAGCTGGTACTCAAGCCCATCTCGTCGAGAAGCC